CCCTTGTTTTCCAAGTGACACATTTTTAATGCACTGAAGTGGAGGGGTGATTCATGTTTATTATCTAACCAGGTGTTCTGTTTTTTTCCTGACTCCAGGTTCTTTGAAGGCCCTTGCAGATATTATATGTGAACACCCCAGCATTCATAAAAGGTACAGAGCAAAGGGAAACATGTTTATTTTGTGAAACCTTTTAATTGCTTTAAGATAGCAAGAGATAACCGTATTTTCTCTTTGCTGTGAGCCAGCTGTGATCAGATAACGAGCTGGTTTTGTAACAGGCCTGCAAGTTTGTTTTGGGAGCAGTGTGAGGCTTTGATTTTATCTGAAATAGCTGGGGCATGGAAACTGCTAATGAGGGAGCCCAGGTCTCTCCCTGGAATATTTTTTTTCTGGCTCCTGGTCTTTGAATTCCTGGCATTAGACCTACTTTCTACAGTCTGTGTAAAAGTGATACCTTTTAACTTTTTACAGTAGTCGATTTGTGTTTGTCCCTGGCCCCGAAGACCCCGGTCCTGGTTCTATTTTACCAAGGTCAGTTTGCTCAAGAATTTGGAGTTAAATAGTTAAAGAAGGGAAGAATTTTTGTTGATCCATCTGCTGCTATTTATTTTAGACCTCCCCTGGCTGAAAATATTACTCAGGAATTCAGACAGCTGGTGCCATTTTCAGTTTTCACCACAAATCCTTGCAGGTAACGGTGCAAGTGCTATTTTTATTTATTTGTTTATTTTACTAAATGACTGATCTATGTAATTTTCAAAACCTACAAATTTTGGAAAAATTGGTCTTAAATTTGTCAAACTAATAGAATTCTTCACATGCATGAATTGCAACTAGTTCTAAATACATTAAGACATAAATAAATCAGTGATGAAAGTCAACAGAGCTAGAAATTTGACAGTGCTATAAAAATCCTGCTCAAAAGCATCATGTCTTTCTGAATCTGGAGGAAATGAAGGGAAGATGGGTAAATATTATTTTAATTCAAATGTGCTTTTTTATTTGGCTCTGTTAGAGGGAGATCAACTTCATAATGCAGCTCCCTAGTTTTTAGGTTCATCTTATTTAATTTCATTACTGTTTTCCACTTAGGATTCAATACTGCACCCAAGAAATTATCATCTTTCGTGAAGATTTGGTCAACAAAATGTGCAGAAACTGCGTCAGGTTCCCCAGCAGCAACATGGACATTCCCAACCACGTGAGTGAGTTGTGTTGAGCACCTTTTGCCAACATTTTTGACCTCTTTATTGATCAGCAGGTCTGGATTTTGGGTGCTCTGATCCTCATTTTCACAACACATGCAAGAGGAACCCAGAGGGACTGGAAGGAGGATCTGTACATTTAGTATTTTTACCTTTCTTTACATTTTGACGGTAAAATATCTCAAACCATGATACTTTCAGGTGGTATTGAGTCACTCTGTCACACTGCAGGTGCCCCTGAACACAAAACTTCCTAGCAGCCAATTTTCTGTGCACCAACCATGAATGTGTACCAAGAAACGTTGATTCCTAAAGGCAAAGTTGAATACAAATTAATTTTTTTGAAGATTTGACTGGTTATCCAGTGCCATTTGCAGTAAAGCAGCATGTCACTTTTCAAAAAATTCATCTGCTGGTTTTGTCTTCTCACTTGAAGTCTTAATCCTGCTTTTTATACATCAAATTATGGCTCTAGTTAATGAACCCTCAGCAGGAGCTGATGGGATTTACTGATATAATTGGATGAGAATGAAGCAGGTAGTGCTGGCTCATTGCAGTGATGGATGGAACCTGGTTTTATTTATTTTAAAGGGGGTTTTTTTTGTTTGCTTGACTCAGAAACTTGGTTTAGCTCTTTCTTCCTTCATCACAACAGTGCTCAGTGTCTTTGTGAACTCACAGTGACAATGATGTACCTTGGTTTTGGTGTGCACATTTGCATTCCTGTCACTTCCCTGTGCTCACAGAGGGCTTTCTTTTCAGGAAGGAATCATGAAAGAAATGTAGAATTATGTATAGAAACCCTTTCTGCAGATGCTTTTGCATACTCCACTTTTTTTCTGCCTTTTTTGGACTCTCACTATTTCTTTTTAATTCAATCATGTTAAAAAACGAGGGAAATTTTGTTGCTAAGAAAGGAATCGAAATCATTTGGGAATTAAATGATTTCTTCAGTTCAGGGGAAAGACTGTTAAAGTGTGGATTTTGTTGTTAACTAATACTGTAAGGAAAGCCATGGGGGAAAAAAACCAATCTATAAAATGAAATTTATGGCATTGTTGGTACTTCCTGGGCTGAAGGAACAGGTAAGTAGATTTTCTTGGAGAGTCTGAACGCTCAAGTGGTTTTGATACCTTCAAATATTGCCTGATATGCTTTAGAAAAGACTTTGTGTATTGAAAAACCCCACAATACCAAAATGAAAAGAGCAGCTGAGTGCTGTAGGGGAGCTGCTTCTTTCCCCCAGAAATTATTAACGATCAGAGGGAGTCAGATACAAAAAAAAAAAAAAGAAAACATCTTCAAGTTCAAAGCTTCTTTATTAACAAGCACTGGCATCTGTAGGAATGAATTTGACTTGAAAAGCAGCGTTCAAACCAACGATTTCTGCTTCCCTTGCAGTTTGTGAAGACCATTTTGTCCCAGGGCCACCTGACCCCGCTCCCTCTCTACGTCAGCCCCGTGTACTGGGCCTACGACTATTCCCTGAGGGTTTATCCCGTGCCAGACGTGCTCGTGGTGGCAGATAAACACGACCCCTTCACTGTCACCAACACCGACTGCCTCTGCATCAACCCTGTAAGATTCCCTGGGGCCTTCCCAAAATGAAAATTCCAACGTGTTTCCCACCATCTGTTCAGTGTTTTACTTACACAAGTGTGGTTTATACGTTTTTCTTTAAAGGGTTCGTTTCCAAGAAGCGGATTTTCCTTCAAGGTGTTCTACCCCTCCAACAAGACAGTTGAAGACAGGTAAATCTATTCACTTTCTGATATAAAATGAAATGTTTTCTTATGTTCTGACTTCCTAATTATCAGGAGGAACACAGAAAATTGATAACATAGAGTGAATGTTTTAGCAGTTTAACTGACTTATGCTTCATACTTAGGCAGGGTAAGAAATCCAAATGTCCACAAGTAATAAATTTAGAAATTGCAGTCAGATATCAATGATGGGAAGCAGAATGCAGAAGTAAAAGGAAAGATGACTGGATATTTTAGCAGTTTAACTGACTTCTGCTTCATACTTAGGCAGGGTAAGAAATCCAAATGCCCAGAAGTAATAAATTTAGAAATTGCAGTCAGATATCAATGATGGGAAGCAGAATGCAGAAGTAAAAGGAAAGATGACTATGCTGTATGATTTTCAACAATTGAAACCTGATTGGGAAACAGATTTGTTTCTGGGGATGATGCTTGTTACATAACTTAATTAAATTTAGGAACAATTCTTGGTTCATTTTGTGATCATCTTCAAGCCCAGAAGCCACTTTCATGGTCTGATTTCACATATTTTTAAATCTGTACTTATTCATTCCAACTGTGGCCTTTCACTGACTGGAAAAAGACCAGCTGCAACACCAAAAAGTATTAAAAGTATCAAAGGCCTTACAATGGATGAAAATTTGCCTGTTTGAAATAATGATCGTATAACGTCATAGGAAAAGCATAAATTTATCTTGTCTTATTGTTTCTTGCCTTGATACAGAAGCCTTCCAAGGGAATTAATAATGAATCAGCCCATGTAACCTTTATTTGAATATAAAAAATACCATACTTTAGGTCTTTAAATAGTTTAAAACATTATCAAGTCTTTAATAGAGCAAGACATAGAATAGTGTTGTGAACTATCTTTAGGAAAAAACCCCTAAATATTGTTTTTCTTTGGTATTTTCAGCAAGCTTCAGGGGCTCTGAATTTCTGCAAGATGGCAAAAAAGGAGCAAGCCCATGTGAAGCCAACTCCAGCTCTTATTTTTTAGATGTCTTGATTTTATGATGTTATGGACTTTTTATAATAAATGTCAAATTTTGTTCACAAATAAACTTTTACAGGAAAAGACACTGGTGTCAGTTTAAAGTGTAGAGTCAGAGTCAAGAATTGACAAAGCATAGAAAAAGGCAACTGTGTATAAAACAGGAAAGATCTGTCTTTAAAAAAAGAAATTAAGGATAGGGAGAACTTTGTCTAGTTGAACTGAGAGCTGGTTATCTGCAGGAGATACTGGGAATGTGGAATAGGATTTGTCTTTGGATGGGAACGGTCCAGAAAAGATTTGTGAGGTGTTGTTTGATGGCAGTACATAATCTGTTTGCAGATTGTGTTACGCAGATAGGGAAAGGAGAGGTAAGATAACCAAGGACATGGTCCTTTGAACTTCTGGAGAAGGTTGGGAGGAGGAAATCTTGCAGAAGGAGCAGTCGGGAAGGTGGGAAAGAGTCAGGGATTGGTTTTTGATGAAACCAAGCAAAAACCTCCTCCACACGCTCGTGGGCATTGAGACCAGAGAAGCAGCCTGGGACTACCCCAAAGTGCCCAGATCAGGTGTAGAACAGAGAGGGGACCCTTGTCACCAGGAATTGTGTTTCACAGACCCCTTCCCAATGTGCTGGCACGGCCTGAGAACAGCTCAGAGGCAGGAACAGAGGGAGAGCAAGATCTGGGCTCTGAGGGGCCATCGGGTAGGGGATGGGAGGTGGGTACAAGAGGCACGAACTGGACTGCCAAGGGTTTAAAACCCAAACCGCAGGACAGGCTGCACTGGCACTTCTGAACATGCTCCCCGAGGGGATGGCAGTACCAGCTCAGGGATGCAGGACAAGTGGGGAGCATGTGCTTTTCAGACGGATGAGGAGATGACAGTGGAAAAGCACCCCTCTTGAAGACAAGCACGAGGGCTAAGAGCCACCAGGAAGCCATTGAGAGGCGGAGGAGAGCTCAGGGGTGGATAGGCCTCGACCGTGAGGGCGAGCCCGCCATGTTGTTTGCCGTCTCCATAGCAACCGGGCGGAAGTGCCCCGGCGCCGCCATCTTGTTTACCGTTACCACAGCAACGCCCGCCATCTTGTTTACCGTTACCACAGCAACGCCCGCCATCTTGCTCGGCGCCTCCACCATCAGCCCGCCCGGGCCGTGCGGGGCCATGGCGAGCGCGGGGCGGCTGCACGACCTGGACCTCAGCGCCGAGGAAGCTGAGCGCCTCCGACGCGCCTTCCGCGACGAGAAGTTCCGCGCGCTGTTCGCCGAGTACGCGGCGGAGCTCACCGACCCGGAGCAGCGCCGGCTGTACGAGGAGGAGGTGGCGGCGCTGGAGCGGGAGCGCGGCGTGGAGGTGCGCTTCGTGCACCCCTCGCCGGGCTTCGTGCTGCGGACCAGCCAGGAGGGCTCCCGCCGCTGCTACATCAACGTGTGCAGCAACGCGATGCTGGCGGAGCCGCGGGCCCACGCCGAGCGCGGCGGGCAGCGCTGGGCCCTGCCCTACAGCCTGGCGCCGGGCCGCGAGGAGCTGCGCCGCGCCGGCCGCCGCCGCCTGCTCTACGACGTGGTGTTCCACCCGGCCGCGCTGCGCCTGGCCGCCCGCAGCGCCCCGTTCCGCCGCCTGCTCTGCGACACGGCCCTGGACGCCGTGGAGCGGCACTGCGGGGTGCGGCTGGACCGCGCCAACGCCGCCGTGCTGCGGGGGACCCGCTACAAGGGCGTCCCGCAGGCGCCCGTCATCCGCTCCCCGCTGCCCGGCGGCGCCACGAAGCCGCCCGACGGCGGGGACTCCCCGCTGCCGCCCTTCCCCTACCCCGCCCCGCCGCCGGCCGACAACGGGGGCTTGCCGCCGCCGCCGCCGCCTCCCTTCCCCGCCACGCCCGCCGCCGGAGCCTCCCCGCCCGCCGGCCCCACCACGCCGCGCTGGAGCATCCGCCACCGCTCCTACGTGGACCTGCAGGACTACCGGCACAGCCGCGACTCGGCGCCCAGCCCGGTGCCGCGGGAGCTGGTGGTGACAGTGGAGCTGCCGCTGCTGCGCTCGGCGGCGCAGGCGGAGCTGGAGATCCGCGGGCGGGAGCTCAGGCTCGACTCGGTCCGTCCCGCCTACCGCCTGCGCCTGCGCCTGCCCTACGCCGTGGACGAGAGCGGCGGCCGGGCCGCCTTCAACCGGGCCCAGCGGCAGCTGCAGGTCACGCTGCCCGTAGTGCCGCCGGCCCCCGACGGGCAGCGGCGGGAAGGGGCCGAGCCCGCGGCGCAGGGGCCGGGCGAGCCGCTAGGCGAGCCGCCGGAGGCTGGGCCGGGCGGCGGGGCCGCTCCTCCCCCGGGCCCCGGCGGCGCGGCCCGGAGCACGTGGGGCGGCGGGGAGACCGGGGATCCACCCGGGGATCCGCCCACCGAGCCCCCCGCTGAACCCCCCCCCCCACCAAAAACCGAGCCCCCCGGTGAACCCCTCTGGGACCGCCCCCCTCACTCGCCCGCTCAACGGCCCCCTGACCCCCCTGCTGACCTCCTCGCTGATGCCCCCACTGAACTCCTCGCTGGTGCCCCCGCTGAACTCCTCGCTGATGCCCCCACTGAACTCCTAGCTGAACCTGCTGAACCCCTCGCTGAACCTGCTGAACCACTCGCAGAACCCCTCACTGAACCACCTACTGAATCCCCCACTGATCCACTCGCTGAACCCCAAAAACCACCTTCCGACCCCCTCGCCGAACCACCCACTGAACCGCCCGCTGAACCCCCCTCTGGACCACCCCCTGAACCACCCGCTGACCCACCCGCTGAATCACCCGCTGAGCCCCCCAACCCACCACCACGCTCCGGCGCCGCTCCCCCCATGGCCAGCCCCGAGCCGGCCGTGCCCGCCGAGGACGCCCCTCCGAGCCCCCCGCCGTCCGCAGAGCACAGCCCCACCGGGATGGGCGCCACGTGCCCTCCCTTCCAGGCCCGGCAGGACGAGACGTCCCTCACCCTGCTCCTGAGAGTGCCCGGCATCCATCCCCAGAGCCTCTGCGGGGACGTGGGCACCCACCACTACAGCCTGCGCTTCTCCACTGACAGCGGCGCCTTTGCCCTGTTCCTGCAGTTCCCTCCCGCGAACAAGCTGCTGTCCCCCGAGACCGGAGTCAGCGTCTCTGCTCACAACGTGGTTGTGGAGCTGGCCAAGGCCCCCGACAGCGCCGGGCCCTGGGAGAAGTTCAGCTTCGGCCTCGACCCCTCCGCTCTGCAGGTAATGCCTTCAAAGGGGCAGGTTTGGGGTGTCCCCTCCCGGGAGAGCCGCTGCTCCGCTGCTGGGTGTGGCTCATGGTTTGGCTTCGTTGGTGAGCGATGTCTCGGGGAGGTGTGAGGTTGAGTTCAAAGCTGGTAGAGACAGAAGTAGCTTCCTCTGAGAGCTGCTCCTGCGTGTGAATGGAGTGACCTGATTTGAGCAAATCTTGTCCGAGGTCACATCACGGAGCTGACACCTTCATCCTTGGGTTTGCAATGACTTCTGCCTCCCACGCTGACTTTTTTCTAAGGGAAATTGTGGTGATAAGTGAAAACAAAGCCTGCCCTGACCTTTACGTCCTTAGTGTTCACTTTTAACTCAAGTAAATTGCTTGTGCAGCTTGTTCACACAAAGAAAGGAGATGTTTATGGTACACCAGACATACACTCACGTGCATACACTGTCATGAAGTGTGGGTGGAGGGTCCCTGTGTCTGTATTTCGGGACAGAATTCCCACTTACATCCATGGGAATACCCATTAGTTCAACCAGAGCAGAACAGCAAACAGCAGCTGTGAACTGTCTGTTTTGCTGGGATAAATCTTCACTTGCCTTCTTCCCTGTCTGGATATGATTCCAGTTTAATGGTTTATGATTTTATGGGTCATTTGGCAGTGATGCTCCCATGGTGGGAGAAGGTGGGGTGGCTGCATCCAGGTGACAGTGCCACCTGGGAGCTGCCAATGTCCCCAAAGGGATGCCCACCTTGTGGCACTCCTGCTGTCCAGAAGCACTCACACAAGTTTTGTGGAAAACCACATTATTCTGTAAGCTCAGAGTTTCAAACAGCTTCTCATGAGCAGGGATTAAGGCTGCACAGCTCTTGTGTAACCTTCCAGTCATGGGATTTGAAGTTTGGCTTGATTTTAGAGCAATAAAATCCTTTGCCTTTTGGATCATGTGCTGTGGGAGCACAAGTCCAGAAAGCTGGCAGGCTTCAAGTATGTCCACTGGGATAGACTTGCCTTGGAGCAGCTTAATTGCTCCTTCCCTACCACTAGAAATTACTTGTGCGTGATTTTGAAAGATATTTATCCAATTAGTGTTTGTGCAGCTGAAACATCACATTTAATGTCCCATTTAGCAGCTGCACACCTTTTGTAACAGCAATTCCTGTGAAGGAGGAGCTGATCATTTCGGGGAAGTATCAAAGATGATGAATTTATGGAGAACCACCCACGCTGAGCTGTTTGCAGAGCATTTCCTCTGCTTTTAGCGGAGCAGAAGCCTTGCAAGTCTGTGCAAGTGGGGCCACAGAGCCCTCAGCACTGCTGTCAGTGGCTGGAATCGGGCACTGGGTGCTGCTGCCACATCAAATAAGCCACTGTGTAAACTACTGGCTGTTTTCTGCACAGGGACAGAGCCTGCCCAGGGCAGTGGTGGAGTCCCCATCCCTGGAAGTGTTCAAAAAACGTGTGGGTGTGGCACTTGAGGACATGGTTTAGTGCTGAGCACGGTGGTGGTGCTGGGTTGGTGGCTGCACTAATGATTTGTGTGCATTTGTTATTACGACTGGGGGAACATCTTGCGATTGGAAGTTGCTAAAAGGCCACCCAGTAATGAGATTTTGGTTCTATGAGTTAAAAAAAACCCCTCGAATGTGCTGATTTTAGTGTATATATATATTGCAAAACATTTTGGGTGGAGTAGGAGGAAGAGATTGGGCATTAGTCATAGGCTTCCCAGCCATTCATTCACGTAGCAGACTCCAAAAGATTCTCCTGGCATGGAGTCCTTTGGACACTGGGCCTGCAAACTGAAGCAGGAGAAATAAACTGAAGTCATTTGTTCTGTTTGCTTTCTTTAAACTGATATTCCCCCGGAGTGCCCGTGCCAGCACTGAGAGCTGCACTCACTCAGACTGAAGGGAGAAAAATTAATATTTAATTAGAGCCACTGTTATATGCTGTCCTCTGGCCATTAACTATTTGCTTCTGGTTGCTTTTCTGCTACTTCTGTTGATTTCTTCAATTTGTCTGTTGTAATTTTGGATGTTTTTCTGCTTTGACTCTCATTCTATAAATCAGAGCTGTTGTTCTTGCACTGAGACCTGTAACGAGTTGCATCAGTCATTGCAGAGTGCACAAAGCAATGCCCTGTTTGATCCCTTCAAGGAGCTTTTGGTGGCTGAGGGGAGCAGGAATTTTATCCTGCACCCCCCAGTGTGCTTGTTCATCATCTCTTCTCCCACAGCAGCGTTGCCAGAGGACAGTGCATGGCAAAAGTGAATCATGGAATCAGAGAATCCCAGAATGGTTTGAATTGGAAGGGACTTTAAAGCCCATCTCATTCCACCCCCTGCCATGGGCAGGAACACCTTCCACCAATCCAGGTTGCTCAGAGCTCCATCCAGTTTGGCCAGTGTTTTTTTTAACAGATATGGAATTCCTACTCTGCTGTTGTCTGGGAAATTACTTCCTACTGGGGACTTGAGGGTTGTTGTGTTGTTGCATGGAACAAATTCCTGTGGGTTAGTTCAGAATCTGCCCCTCACTGGAAACCTGTGCCACAGTGGCTCTTCCACCACCCTGGGCTGCTGCCCAGTTCTCTCCCATTAACTGCCAATTTCTTCTTGGAAATTGGTCTGACCCAGATACTGGTACAAGAATGAGTTGAGCTTATCCTTGGGACACAGTGCTTGAAACAGAATTTCAAGGACTGCTTTTCCCTTTGTAGTCAGCTGTGGCTGAATCCCTGTGCTGGAAGATGACCCGTTTAGAGCTCAGTTTCCACAGATGCTGAGCAGTTGGAATTTCCCACCCTTACCTCTTTTCAGGAAATCTTTACAGTGCCCCAGTCCCCCCTGGACTTTAACTGTGAGTAGTTTCCCTCCTTGGCTAAACTATCATGTCCACACAGCAGTTGGACTTGATGATCTTGGAAGTCTTTTGCATCCTAAATGATTCTATGACTTGTTGACCAGAAATCCTATAAAAATAAAGATTCCATAATTTGAGGCATCGTGGACCAGGGTCACATATTTCAGGGGTTTAAAGGTGGCCTTTTGTCACTGCCCTGGTGCTCTGTCACTGCACCAGAGACCACACAGCACTGACCCTTCTGCAGGGCTCACTCTGTTTTTCCAGGGAATAACCTGAGGAAACTTCCTGGCTTCCCCTTTGCCAAAAATCACTGTCTGCTGCTTGCCATGAGCTGTGCTCCCTCCACTGCGGTTCATCCACTAATACCTGCTACATCTTTTCCTTAAATCCTTAAATTCAGGCCTGGGAAACTCCTGCATCAGGGAATTGCCCTTCATTTCAAGGCAACACCGCCTGGAGAGTAAATGATGAAGAAAGAATGGTTGAGAGTTAAATAACCATTAATAAAATTTGTAAGCCTGCCAGGCAAGGTTTGAGAGAACAACATGTCCCACTGTGTCCTGGTTCATGGTAGAGCAGGAGTTGGGCAGTGACGGAAATCGTGCCTTCGGAAAGCACTGTCTTGGAATGTTTGGCCTCCTGGGGTTAAATGCTCAATTCTTAAAAGAAATAAAAAGCAGTTTTCTAGTGGGTGTATTGAAATCCTGAGACTTGGAGGCTCAGTTATCAGAGCATGTGAAACACGTGTGGTAGCTAATTAATTCTGCCGGCACTTTGGGGGTCGTGTGTGCTCATTTTCATGGGATCAGAAAAAGATTGGATCACGTAGGAATTCCCTTTCATGCTGATCCACACCCTTCCTGCCCCTTTTAGCGGCCTGGAGTGAGTTAGTTCACAGGATGTGTGCTCATTCCCTGGTCAGTACTTCCCCCTGGGAGCCCCTCACTGCGGGGGGAATCACAGCCAGACCATCCCTTTCCTCATAAACCCCCATCTCCTCTTATGGTGAATATTAAGATTTAACTCACATAACCCCCCCGGGGCTCCAGAGAACAGCAGGGGAGCAGAGGAAAACAGAAATATTTCCTCTGCTTTCCTATGCATTACGTTTTTTTAACATTTACAGTCTGAAAAATATTATACTGAACATTCCTGAGGAGTTCATGGTTGGAGCTAAGCATGAGTTACGCTGTTTGTGAGGTATCCAAACAGGAATTGCACAGCAACATGGAAGCTTTGTTTAACTTCTCTGTGAGTGTTGAGGCCTCCATGGAGGATGTTTTAGATGGGTGTGATTTTTCTGCTTGCCACAGCCACCGGTGTCTTGTGAAGGAGATGTTTTGAAAGCTCTTGGTGCTGGTAAAATAAAATGTGGACCCGTTGAGTGAGTCCAGAAGAGGCCACTAAACTGATCACAAGGCTGGAGCCCCTGCTCTGGGGACAGGCTGGGAGAGCTGGGGGGGTTCACCTGGAGAAGAGAAGGCTCTGGAGAGACCTTAGAGCTCCTTCCAGGGCCTAAAGGGGCTCCAGGAGAGCTGGAGAGGGACTTGGGACAAGGGATGGAGGGAGAGGACAAGGGGGAATGGCTTCCCATTGACAGAGGGCAGGGATAGATGGGATATTGGGAAGGAATTCCTGGCTGGGAGGGTGGTGAGGCCCTGGCCCAGGTTGCCCAGAGAAGCTGTGGCTGCTCCATCCCTGGAAGTGTCCAAGGGCAGTTCCAGGGTTTCACCACCTGCACGGGGAAGAATTTCTTCCCAATATCCCATCTAAATGGAAGTCACCTGTGTGTGGCTGCAGGTGGCAGAGCTGTGTTGCTCCCAGCACAGGGAACACGTGGAAAAGGCTGTGGGCTGGATGTGCTCCTGTGGGCTCACTGCTGGGGCCGTGCTGGAGCTGTCCTTGTGCTCAGTGATCTTGGAATTAGGGCCCTTGTGGATAAATGTTTTTCTTGGTTTGAGAGTCAACTAAGCGTGAAACCCAGAGAGCCACATTGGGAAGTGTAAGACATGGATGTTTTACGGCTTTGCCACCTTTCAGGGAGAAATCCATCCCAGAGAGCTCTTCTGCCCTCATTTCCAAGCTGTTTGGAGTTGTTACATGCTTTCTTTGAAAGTCAGGGCTATAATTTTCAATTTCCAAGCTACTATAAAGACTTAATACAATAGTCAGGGGTCACTTCTAAGAACACGCTGCTGGAAGCTTGGGCTGTTGTGTAATCCTACAACAGTTTATTTTTGGTTTAGTTAATTCTGTGCTCATCGTTTCAAGACTCTTGGCAAGTTTTTGGGGAGGTCAAGGAAGGACAGAGAAGGAGAACAGAACAAACTTATTATTTCATATTTTTCAGAGTAATCTCCTTCCCAAGCTGCATTAAGAACCATAATTAGTTTGCTTCTGCTATAAAACAAACTAATTTCTGTATAGCCTTTAATTGGTAGCTGCATTTTGGGAATAACGTGTCTACACAAAACATTTATGTCAGGAAACATTATTAACCTACTGATTAAGCTCATCAAAGCTCCTTTTGAGCTGTTTAATCTTTGCAGTCATGAGCTCCTTGGAAAAGTTTTCACCCCACAACATGTACCAAAACTTTGAGCTTCACATTCTCATGTCAAGCTGGTTTGTGCTGGGACCCTACAAACCCAGAGGCCAGGAGATCCACAGATCCAGGTCCCTTTCCATATCGAGTTGGTGATTGTTCCTAGAGAGGATATGTCTGCCCCATCCCTGGAAGTGTTCAAGGCCAGCTTGGAGCAACCTGGTCCAGTGGAATGTGTCCCTGCTCATGGCAGGGGGTGGGAACGAGATGGTTTTTAAGATCCCTTCTCACCCAAACCATTCCATGATTCTGGGGTTCTCCGAGCTTCTCATTACGGGAGGCACGCAAATAATTTAAACCTGAAATCTGTGCTGCTTTTAAAACTGTTGCAGCCTGTGTGGGAGGTAACTCTGGGTGGAAATTGGCTCCGAATTTGGGTAAAGTGAGGCAGAATAAACCCATTTGATTGCCGAGGGCAGCCGTGAGGGGCCCAGCTTTGCACCGTCGGTGCTGGGAGAGACAAGGGTGGCTTTGAACGATGAAGTGCTCTAGAAACCAAAGTCCTTCCTGCTAATGTTTATGTTAATTTGGTCTCAGTTTAGTCACAGGGAAAAATGAATGTGTACCAAACAGCAGATGACAGTATGTGCAGGGAGAAACAAATTAAATTGGAAGTTGCTAAGAGAGGATCATAAATACCAGAAAATAAACGGTTTAAGCCGACGAATTATTTTACAGGGTCATTGAAATCATCTGCAGATGGTTGTCCTCTGTTTGCTCTGGCTTGGAAGGCAGAGCAGGCTTTAGAATAAATGCCTGAGTCATTTTTTTCCAAGGTCTAGGCTTTGATAACATCTGCAGTAATATAAATGCCTCGGCGTGTGCTCCCCGTGAATTCAAAGTCTGAGTTACAGTCTCAGGCTAATGATAATCACCTTAGTGACAACAAACACATCCGAGGTGCTGTGATTTATGGCAGGCCATGGGGTAGGACTGGGATAAAATGTTAAATACTTACTGGAGTATGGTGTTGGGCTGGAATGAAACTTTATAGCAATCGGTCAAAATTAACAGAACAACTTCACAAGTGGTTACTTTTTATCCTCATGTTAAGTACTGATTAATCATGGAATGTCCTGAGCTGGAGGGGACCCACAAGGACCATCCAGTGCAACTCCTGGCCCTGCCCAGGACACCGCAACAATCCCACCCTGTCCCTCAGAGCGTTGTCCAAACCTTCCTGGAGCTCTGGCAGCCTTGGGGCTGTGCCCACTGCCCTGGGGAGCCTGGGCAGTGCCAACCACCCTCTGGGGGAAGAACCTTTTCCTGATAACAGACCTTCCATTCAGTTTTTAACAGTATTTACTGGGAAGAAAACAAATTCTTTTGCTTTTAATCGGGAAGAAAATCTGCAGAAAGATTTCTTGAGTTTGTTGCCAAAATGCAAAGTCCTGATTGTGTTGAGGAGGAAAGTCTGTCCCTCCCTCAGGCAACCACGTGTGCCAGATGCAGGTTCAGAGGGAGAATAGACTGTTTTCCCCATTTTGTGTAGGAAATGTAGGATGGGGCTTGGAACAACCTGGTCTAGTGGAAGGGTGTCCCTGTTTCCATACTCTGACACCTTCTCTTGGACTCTGCAGAGTATTCCCACAATCCTGGGGCACTGGCAGGTCCCTCTTTGGCAGGTCTGGCAAGGATATAACATCAGGGGATAACTATTTTAGGCTTTGCAGACAGAAATGCAAGGAGCAGGTATGTTATGGGAGGGTTTTCTGTCAGGGCAGCCCTGCTGTACTTTAATCTTCCCCCAAACAGTTTCAGCATCCAAAGCTGGCTCTTTGCCTGGATTGTAATCTGCCTGGATAGAAAATGAATTCAATCCTCTGGCTTGGAAAACCAACAATATCTATGTTATGACTTTCCATATTGTGATTTCTAATTTTAATAGTGGAAAAAAATAGGACGCTGGGTTATTTTTCCCGTACTGTTTGGGGTTTTTTTTCAAGATGACAGTTAAATTTTGTACCTCAGACACAATGTGACATCTGGCTGTGCATAAGGCTACGTCCACAGGGGGCCAAAAATGTGCAGAATTGCCTTTTTGCTTCTCAGTCTGCAAGATGTCAGTGATAATTGAATTTAACTTCCATTGGATTGACAAGAGGGTTGAACTGGACCGAGAAATTTAAAAGTGTGACTTAAAGTGGAAGGTTTGCAACTTCTCCCTGTTACTTCCAGTTAAACAGGAAAGGTAATTCCCAGAGCATAAAACACTCCTCTAGGTCAGAACATTTTTATTGTGCCAAAGTCTGTCCTCACCCTCAGCCTACACAGATGAGTTAGGAATAACACAAGCACGGGGAAAGCTCTGCAGTTCTTATGAAACAGCCCCTCCAGGATGTGTTTTAGGACCTTTAATTACCTGCAACTGATTTAAATCTTTAAACCTGTAGCAACATGTTTCACCTTGTTTATGAACTGCATATGAACGGCCTGGAAACACACCCCAGGCTGTCCCTCTACCTCTGGATACCTCTCCCTGTTTTCCAACTGGCTTGTCTGCATGGAGATCTGAGCAGTCTCCCTGGCTGGGTGTGAAATGGATACAGCCCTGCGTGTTCCATATCTGATCTTGGATCACAGATCCCACAGGGACACTCCAAGGAGGTGTTTGTGTTTTCCCAAGCACGTGAAACAAACCCATAACAGTGTCACACCTTCCTGGTGTGAAGCCAGGTGAGGACAGTGGAACAATGTTGGTGCAAGTCATTCCTCAGAGAGAGTCTAGATCTGTATATTAATCACATGTCCAAAGAGAGAGAGTACTTTTCTTTTATATTTGGTGTGATGCTGATCTGTGATTTCAATCCACATGAGCTAAGCACTGCTCTTCATCCATTTCACCTCGTTACTCTGAATGTCTGGCTCAGAATTTCTCTATCAAGGCATGAATGAGCTGTGAAACTTGTGAAGTGTCCTGGCTTTCTTTGCAGTGAGTTTTTAGCCCAAATATCACTACAGTTTAGCACAAAAAGAACATAACCTGCTCTTTCTCTTTTTTTTTTCCTTTAGGAAAGATTGTTTGTCACTGAAGAGAACGTTGATGGATTTCTAGGCACTGCTTTATGCCCTTCTTCTTGCTCCCAATCAGCACTGGAAAGCCAGCCATTAATTGAAGTGCTGGATGTTTCTGAGGACAGAATTCAAATCAGGGTGGAGGTGAGGATCTCTGGGAGCAGCACACGCTCTGGCTGATTTATGTTCTTCAGCAAGATCCTATCAAATCCCACTGATATGGCTCTGTTCCTGTTTTGTCTTCACAGAGTGGGGAAAAAATGGGGAGTGGGGTTATTTAAAAGTAGAACTGTCAATTTTCAGAAGCACAGGTTGTGTTTGTGCCATTTAATGTGACCAAGGGATTGAAACCTCCTATATTTCACTTGAAAAAGGAGAACTGTGATCCAGTCTTCTCCTTGCAAGAATACTTCACTCTCTCAGCCTTGTACAGGTAGAGAAATCCTAGAGGATTTTGTCTGGGAAGGATCACGTCTTGTTATCTTTATTCAGTCCAAGCATTTGAATACTTGAGGGGTTCCTGTTGTGTAGATAATTAAACATGAGGCTATTAATCTTAAACACTGGTCTCAAATTCACATTTGTAATGTTTCAGGCCTCATTCAGGCCACTCTTCTTCCTCAGTCACCCTGTCTAGATAGAGGATGCAAGACAGGCTGTTTCTGGGATCTGTCATGGGATTCAAATGTGCTCCTGTTGCAAAACAGATGGACACAGGAAGAAACCAAAATGTTGGTTTTGCAAAGAGGAAAATGTAGAGCCCCCCACATTAACTGGGATTTCTTGGCAGATACTGCATCAGAAATCCAGATTAAACTTTTCTTAAAGGAAACATGAAATGCAGGGACAGTCAGGTCACTGCTGTGGCCATGAACTGGGGGCTGAAGGCAGAGTTAATGTGTACGTGGCTTGTTTGGAGGCAAGTTCAGATGAAGCACATGACCTTTGGAACCAGGCTGGAGGCCCCAGGAGTTTTTCAAAGGTAGTGGCTTTACTTGGCAGGCTTAACGTGTGTAGCTGGTGTGGATTGTACATAACAATCTAAAATTCAAAGTGTTGGAGAGCAGATCTGTGTGTTTTGGGGCCCAAGAAAAGGCAGCTGAGATATCTTAAATCATCACGCTCCTGGTCCTGTGCCGGGACAGCAGTTGGAGTTGGTGATCCTTGTGGGTCCCTTCCAGCTCAGGGTGTTCCATGATTCTGTGTCTATGTGGGAGAATCATCCAGTTTGAAGAAGGACTTGACTGCTGTTGCTTTTGTCTCTTGCTGGAGTGAGCAGAGGTTTGGGGTCAGAGAGGGCTGGTTGTGTGAGAGAGCAGCTCTGTCTAAATCCATGAATCCAGCTGCTCCTGGACAGATCCCTGCCTGATCCTGACTGCCCACTGAGAGGGACCTATGAGCTAACAGCAGCTTTTTGCAAAAACACTCAATAATGTTGAAACTGGGGAACTGCCATTTAGGCAACACCTCTCACAGTTCCTCCTCTCCTGAGGCAAACCATGGCAATTCCTGGATTAGCTCCACGGGCCGGTAATTTCCCTAATTGCAAGCTTCAAACACGCTCCTGCAATGAGAGTTCAGATCCCTTGGCTGATTTTGTGGCCCCTGAGATCTGGAAAACAGGCTGGGTGTGGTGAAAGGCCTTTCCTAATCCTGCAGCCACGGCGGCTGTGGGGCTTGGCCGCTGCCCAGCAGCTTTTCCTAGAGCAGAGGAAACCCTCGGGAAGTGAGCAACCTCCCTGCCACTCATTCCCACGCGCCAGACAAGAGCAGGAAAACCCCAGCACCGGGCTCACTTGGCTTTGTGGATCAGAACCACAGAATCACAGAGTCATGGGATGGTTTGGGTTGGAAGGGACCTTAGAGATCATCCAGTTGTGACCCCCTGCCATGGACATTCCACCAGTCCAAGTTGCTCAGCTGTTGGAGGAACAAGTATCTCTGCTGTCTTTGCAGCAGTTTCGTGTGCATGGTTTGTTTCAGCTGCAAAATAACTCATTTATTTCCTTGACAGCCACAGGAACGTGATGGAGAAGGAACACTTGGCAGCTCAGGGGGAGACCTTGCTGGAAAGACCAACGCTGACTACCCTGAAACAAAGGCAGAAACAAACTGCCCTGCAGCTGATGGAGAATGTGCTGCAGGAACCAACACGGCTCCCACAGCTGAAACAATAGGAAAAGTAGGTTGTAGTTCACACCATTGTTTGGAGCATGAACCTCCTGACACCAGTTCAGCGATTGCTGGTGAATCCGGGAGAAAGGAACCAGATTTAGAAAGCGCTGCCGCAGCAGGCGACACGGCCACGGCCCCGGGCTCTGCAAAACAAGGAGAACTTCTGCCAGGGGGGCAGGAGGCAGTGGAAGGGCACGAGGAGGCTGAACCCCCAGGGCTGGACAGCAGGGCAGCCTCCCCACTCCTACGAGAAGTGAACCTTCAGGACGGGAGCATGCGGGTCCTCAGGGATCACGTCACGCGCTGCCCCGTCGTGTTTCAGAATTCCTTGCTGTATGAGTTGGATTAGTTTAATGGGTTTAGGATTTCCTTCTCTTGTTTGATGCTTACTGTGACTTCCACGTGCTGGTGGGTGACTTCGGGGCTCGGAGGTCCCCACTGGAACTGTTTCAGCATCAAAACCTTACGTTGTTGCAATTTTTTTGCAGTTAATAGATCTGTTTTCTAATCACACGTATGGGCTGAAGTAGTTTTATTACAAGAAAGATGCAGTTGGAAGTGAATCTGAGCTCCTGGAAGAAAATGTATCTTCGTTGTTTACATAACTTTTTTATTCTCCTACCAGATTTCAGGGATTATTTGTATATATCCTTGGTCTAATGGCTCCCTGGGGAATTGAGCAGTATTCATCATTTTTCAAACCTTTCATTTTGTGATAACTGCAGGATTAGACTCGCAGTGATTTTTAGCAATCAAATGAAATTTCTAATTACCCGGAGAAGTTCTAATTAGTCTCCTAGAAATAATCAACATCTACACCCTGTATTCCATCCTAGTGCAGTGCTTTGCAGCACCCAGACATCCCCCAGCTGAACAAATTCCATTGCACAGTAACAACATCCTCTGGGTGCACGTGTGCTGTGAAGTATTTACAGTTTGGGAGACGGATTCACTTAATCCAGATTTATTTTCACAGTTTCCCTCAAGTTTCCACGTGCTCGTTGCTGGTTCACCTCTCTGAAGTGCCATAACCAAAAGAACACATCTAATAATAAACTTCCAGTTCCCTTTCTCACTGGTGCTGAACCAACTTCTGTTTTCGTTTGAGCTCTACAAGACACAGAGGTGCTTTAGAGGAAAGTTAAATTTGCCTTGTTTCAGGGCTGCCCTGGAATTACTGTCACATTTCTGTGTGAAACATGAGTGTGTGCAGTGGGGTGTGTGGTGTGAGTGTTACTTTCCGAGTTCAGTGAAGCCACAGTTGCCAAAACACCTGCCCTGCCCTCCAGGGCAGCACATCCGCTGCAGGAGGGCGAGGGCTTTGCTGGGTTAAGTTTAACCCCCCTCAGCTTTTTGGGGGAGGTCTCTGAGGGCTGAGGCACCAGCGCAGCTTCATCATCACCCCTGACCCCGTGAAACAACACAGAGCAAGTGTGTTGCAAAATTGCAGTAGTTAAATAACCCTGGGGAAAAAAAAAAGACATTTTGTTTCTCTGACATACTTCCCTGTTCTACAAAAAAGCTGCTGAGATGCTCCTGTTACCAGCTGTGCTTCAGAGAGCAGTGCCACGAAAGCAGCTGTAGTGACAACAAACAGCTCTGTAGCTCCCAGCTCCAGATCAGCCCAGATCACAGCAGCACTTTTTACTGGTGGTTTTACATGGCTAATCCAAAACCAACTTTTTTTTTTTTTAATCCAAACAAAAGAAGTGTTGTGCCACCAATTTGCTATTTTTTTCTGCCTCGATTAGTATCATTAAAAATTTAATGAAGTTAAATGCACACTGCTAGAAGGGGTGATGGCACGTGCCCAGCCCTCGGGATTAAAGAGGAGAAACTCCCCTCCCACCCCATCCCGACTTTTTAGGAACACGAGATGACATCATCCTCTTGGTGACAATCAAGGACTTCTCTGCAATTACAAAACAACTGACTTTTTATTTCGGCAGAACTAAAAAAATCATATATTTATCTACATTGTAGTAAAAACAATGAATTTATTTTTCCATCCTTCATATATTTCATCGACACAATCGCAACCGAGCCGGGACGCGGGGATCAGGCATGAGGTGACCCCGGGTGGGACAGCACACGAGGGCCCCCCCGGCGCGGTGTCACGGGCACCACCAGAGCTTCAGCACCAAAAAAGATGCACTTAAAAGTGTTCTCCTCCTTCTCCTCCTCCTCCTCCTCCTCCCAGCAAACTCAGCAGCAGGTCACTTTTTGCGTAGGGGCTGCAGCACATCACCCATTTCCAAAACGTGGTTGCCAAACATGAGAGATTACTATTTTGGGACACCTTTAAACAAGAATGTTTATTCATATTAAAGCAGAAACCAACTCATAAATGCTGTTTATACACGTGTGTGCCTGTAAAAGACAAAATGGGACAACTCAAGAAGAAAAGAAGGCTGCAAGAGAAGGATCCTCACTGGAGTCTGCGGTAACTCTTACAGAGTTCGTGGTCCCTGATGTCTCCCCACCCTCCGTTTTTGACGTGAGGGGACAGGGGAGCCATGGAGTACCTTTTACTGACAGTCATCGTCTTGGGAAACAGGTACTGTTGGTTGCTGTTCAACAGAGAGTCGATTTTGGCACTCTGGGTGGACGGTCTGCAGGATTTCTTGTGGTGCATGCCACAGTCCCCCGTGTGAAAAATCCTGGGGATCTCGGGAACCAGCACTTTCCAGAACTTTGGAAGACAAGAGACAGTCAAGTGCTGCAGAGTCCAGTCCCAGTTGTAGTCATCGTAGGTGCAGAAGGCGTCTGTGCACTCGATGAGCTTCTGGTAGGTGTCTCTGCCGAAGGCCATGCCCATGTTGTGCTCCGTGGACTTCCACGTCTTCATCTCCACCTTGTCGGCGCGGCCGGCGAAGCCGCCCCGCACGGGGCTGTAGGTGCCCAGGGACACCACCTGGCACTCGGGGCACTCGCGCTGGCGCAGGGCCCAGAGCTGCTTGAGGACGTGGTAGAAGTCGGGGGCCAGGTAATGATCCTCCTCCAGGAAGAGCACGGGCCCCGCGTGCTCCCGCAGCGCCCGCACGCGCTCCCACACGAAGTGCAGCTTCCACCACCAGTGGTGCTTGGTCTGGGCGAACCGCGCCTCGCGGTAGTGCCCGAACGAGTCCGGGAACTCGGCGTTGATGCAGCCCAGGCGCAGCGCCGCCGCCTTGCCCACGTCGCGGGGGCAGTCGCGGGGGTCGTGGCCCGGGAACTCGCGCGGGTACAGCTGGATGCTGAACGGGAAGAACACCTGGAGCACGGCGCAGAAGTCCACGCGGGCCGCCAGCCGGTTCAGCTCCTCGGCCCACAGGTCGTGGCTCAGCACCAGCAGCACGTTCTCCACGCCCGCCGCCCGCCGCAGCGACTCGAGCAGCAGCCGCAGGTGCTCGGCGCGGTCGTGCACCTGCACCACGAGCACCAGGTCGGGCCGCGCCGGGAAGCGCCCGGCGTTCCGCACCGGCTGGTCGAAGTTCAGCCGGTACACGAGCGAGCGGTAACTCAGCGTCGCGTTCTCGGACAGCACCGCCGGCACCACCGCGGCGGCAGCGGAGGCGTTGGCGGCGGCGGGGCGGCGCGGCGGCACCGGCGGCGCGGGGGGGGCGGGCTCGCTGACCCGCGGCGGCTCTCCGGTGCTACCGAGACCGCCCCGCTGCTGCTGCTGCTGCTGCTGCCGCCGCCGGCCGCCGCCGCCGCCAGTGCCCCAGAGCGCCAGGGCGCAGAGCGCCAGCGCCGCCGCCAGCAGCAGCACCTTGCGCTTGTAGACGCGCAGCCGCATGTTCCCGGCGGCGGCGGCCCCGCTCCCGCCGCTCCCGCCGCCGCC